TAAAATTCACCTCTGATTAATCAAAGTCCGCAACCGTGATGCCTTCAAAGTAGGGAAAACAAGCTTTTCCCGGAACAAGGGATTCGCTTCTATTAGTTTCTTAAGCTCAACCAGCATTATACTCCGGGCCGATTTAGTATCACCATACTTTGATAACTGCTCATTTTCCCTACATTATATCAAAAACAAATACTTAAATTCTTAAACTACCTATAATTCTACATCCTAAACCAACCATCAAATTCACCGGCCAAGAACAAACAACCATCAAATTCCACAATCTTAATTACCTAAAATTCTCCATCGTTAAAAGCTGCGTAATTTCCTTATAAAGTTCTTCATTAAATGTCGAAAAAACTTTCAAATCCTTCACTAAAATCTCAACAGCTTTAGCTCTATCATGCCTGTAACACAACAAAAACCAAAATCATCATATATAATTACACCAATATCATTCAAATTAAACAAAAAAAAAAAAAAAAAAAACAGAGATTACCGGTCCAAAGCTTCTAGATACTTCTGCTTTCTGATCTCAAAAAAAATCTTCATTGAATATCGATTATCGTCAACTTTGGTGAATCCAGAGAGGTATTTTTCAACTTCGTCCCATTCTCCAGCGAGAGCTTTCTCTTCGAAGTATTTCATGTTGAAAAAGAACCCTGACTCTTGCTCTAACCTGTGAACTCCACCAAAAACGGCACAAGCTTCAATTAAAACAACAATAGAAACCAAAAAAAAAAAAGTAAATGAAAATCAAAATGAAAATAAAAATGAAATAAAAAGCTTACCTGTGAACGGTCTCCTTGAATTTTTCTTCTTCGAGAAATTGAAGAATTAAAAACACTAATTCTCTGCTAAGAGACGTCATTTCTTCTTAACCGATCGAGAAATTGAGAATCGAAATCAGAGAGTTAGGGTTTTTTATTTAAACAAAAAGATTAAAAGAAAAGAAACAGAGAGAAACCAAGAGACAGGGAATTGAATATGGAAAGTCAGAGATTTAATTGAAGCGGAAGAAAAGAAACGAGGTGGTTGAAACGACGGCGTCTCTTGGAAGTTAGCGGCTGCCGAGAGAGAAAAAAAGAAGGTTTTTAAGGTGGGAAATTGGTCGTACTTGGACTGATTTTTAGGGTTTGCGGTTCCATTTCATGCTTGGCGTTCAACGAAAACAGTAGAAGAATAGCTATCAAACAAAAAAGAATAAAAGAAAAAATAAATAAAAATCAAAAAGAAAGAAAAAGATAAAGAAGAGAGAGAAAGCGAGTTCTAACCTTTTTCGATGCGTTTTTGCAGTGTCTCGCGTCACACCGAACTCTCACTCGATAAGTAGAAGTACTTATTACAAATTGATAGTTGCACGTACTTATAACTTTCCCGAAACGATAGATCAATGGGGCTAGATCGACTTTAGGATAATGTTAGGTGCAGACGGGACTATGTAGAACCGGGCAGTGATGGTTGAGAGTGGGAATTTAAGTGATTACGTGGACAGAAATGAATAATGTGGTGGAAGTTGTTGAGAGAGAGTTGTGAAATAGAGGAGGACAACTGCGGGTTTGCATGATTCTCGCGGAACCGAAAAAGGGAAATTAAGTGGATTGAATAAAAGGTACTAAAGTCCACATATGCTGTTGTTTTATCTGTTAATAACGTGTCGCACTTTGACGCTGCATCTGCTTGACTGCTTCTACTGTGTCCGGATTTTTCTCTTTTTCTTTTTTTATTGTTATGATTTATCTCGCAAGAATTTATGAGTTAGCTTGAGTCACTCGTTTAATTTTTATTTATTAAAATAAAAATTTATTATATTAATATTTTAAATATATATTTGAATAAATTAATAAAAATATATATTAAAATTAAATTAAAATAATATAATTAAATTTATAAGATTTGAGCATGTAAAATCTTATTTAAGGAAAAATAATAGTACAATTATGAATATAACTTATTGATAATGACAATACATTAATATTGCATTGGAAGATAAACTAATGTATCCTATTGATGTATCAACATACATTTTCAACGTCAATAATTGCTTATTCATTAATTAACATTTTCTATATGAATAATTATTTATTTATTAATCATTGATAGTTAAAATTATTTAAAATAAATATTATATTAATTAATGTAATTATAATGTAAATGTTACATTATAAATTTTAAAAATATAGATATTACATCAAAGCAATTTATTATAATTCAAACATCAAATATGAGATTAATTATTTTATTTATTAAATTAAGATGTTATAAATACGTTTCTTAAAACTTTTTGATTTAAGGTTTTTAAAAGTATTTTTATATTTTAATTGATAATATATTTAAAATAAAATAAATTGAAACTTTTTAATCATTAAAAATCAAATTAAAACAATATTTATGACAAAAAAAAGGGAATAACTGATTATTTAAAAGTTTGAACCAATTCCATGGTAAAAAATCAGTACTTATATTTAACCATAAATCTCAATTAACGAAAAAAAAAAAACTACTAATGGAAACAACAGAAAGACATGATAGATTGAGTTTGACATGTCACGTGACAACCGTCGCTGGCAATTCCACCTTTTGTGGTGCGATGTGAGCGCGTCCTATCACGAGCCAAAGAGCGCTTGACATTCGAAGCGTAAAGATTTTTTCTTACATGAGAGCGACTTGTTGCTAACGTGTCAGTCGACGGGGTCATCTGGAGTCTTTCTTACAACTTACCGGGTTCAGCCCAAGACGTTGGACCCACAAACGTTATCCATGTCCACGAAGAATAATTGATAGACTAAAATATTAAAAAAAATTTAATTTTACCACCTTATTTAAATAAATTTTAATTTTTTATTTACATTCATGTTTTATTTGTTAATAAAATATTGATTTGTATTAAAAATTTATTTAAAAATAAATTAAAATTTTATTTAAATATGATAAAAATATATAAATTTATTTAAATAAAATAATAAAATATTATTTTTATTATTTTAATCATATTGTTACCTCGCCACCACAATTTACCTAAGAATATATTATTCCAAAAAATTTTCATTCATTTGGGTCGGCTAAAAGTATATTTGAAACGCATTAAAATGTTTATTTTATAGTTGGATGAGTCCTTAAACAAAATAAAATACTATTACTAATTTTGTTTTCTGCCTTTTAATCTAGTGACAAAAAAACTTTAAATAAAATATTAGAACTTAGGTTCAAATCAAACCACCCCTCCCTCTTTTCATGGGCGTTGCTCTCTTTTGAACCAAAAAAAAAAAAAAATTATTACGTTCAATTGATTGTTACGTGACATTCTGACAACGAATTATCCTATCATGAGAAGATTTTAATATAAAATATAAATATAAAGATCATATTTAATCTAAAAGTTATTATCTTTGATTCAAAAATTTTATAATTTTATTTTATAAAAAATATTTCATAAATTTAAATTTATATATATCATAATAAAATTTTAAATTATTTTAATATGAGATTAAGATATCATAATAAATATAGCCAAAATTAAAAAACTTTTATGAGTCATTATCTTTATTTTTTTGTGTTGATATTAGAGGTATAAATAATATATATAGTATTCGTAAATTATTCAATTTTGATTAAAAAAAAATTTGAATTTGACTCGGTTATTACTGAATCGAATTCAAATAACTCGACTTATCAATCGAGTAAAGTTTAAGTAATTTTTTACTTAATTTGAGTAACTTGTAATCTTAATTGAATTTTTATATTTTAATTATTTTAATTAATATAATATATTAAATTTAAGCTTTAGTTCAAGCACAAATAATTAAAGTTTTTATCACATATAAAAATTGAATTTATTTTTATATGTTAATCAAGCCTAGTTGAATGAGTTTGAATCTTTCGATTTTTATTTCGAATCGAGTTCGAACTAAAAAAATAAATTTTAATCGAGTTCAAATTAAATTTTAAGTGTTGAATTTCATCAAGAGCTCAAACTTACTATAATATTAGCTCAAAATCAATTGATTACATTGCTAATTAATACTAAAATATTACATAATAAAAAGGGTTACTTGACTTAAGATTTTAATATGACGTATTTATTTTCGTCGACATAACCAAGTATGAAGATTAACTAATGGATAAAATGAGGTTTGAGGATTTTTTTTTTATCAATTAGGTTTGATTGTCATGAAAAAATATTATAAAAATAAAAATTTAAATATATAATATACATTAATATTAAAACATATATCTTTAAATTCGTCCGAATTAAAAATTAAACTTAAACAAAATTTCATGATAAAAGAGTTTCAAAACTTTTGATTTTAACAAATTAATGAGATATTTCAATAAAAAGCATGTGTCATATGTTATAATCTTATATTACAAACACAACATTATTATTATTATTATTATTATTATTATTATTATTATTATTTTGTTTATTACTTTATAATATAACAATAACTTTTAGTTACACATGTAAAAATTCTCGATAACTAACAATTCATGTAACAGTTTTAACAATTAAAATATTTTTTCTTTTATCATATAAATTTTATAAATAAAGAAGGTTAACCGTTAGGGCAAGCTGTCCATTCACAATGAGACTTACAGATTTTTATAGAAATTTGAATCGGAATGCTTTGCGTCTAAACCTTAAGCATTAACCACTTGATTAACCCTTGTTGGTAAAAAAAATACTTCTCAATCAATCAAAAGGTTGAAACAATTTAGTATATTAGTAACATTCAAAATTTCAAAATTAAATTAAATTAATTAATGTAATAATTTTTTAAAAATAATATTAAATTGATTTAAATTTTAAATTTTAGTATCTGTAATTTTTTTTTTTTATATTTCAACTTTAAAAAAATCTCAAATTAATTAGGAGAAAAAATTAAATTGGGATTTATTCGGAACAGCTGGGCTATCATTGAGCCCAGTAGCCCATTGAATCGGAGGGCTTGATAAAGGGTTGGACTATTAAATTGCCCAGCCCAGTCCGTTTCAGCGTTTCAAACCCAGTCGGCCAACCTCCAACCAAAACACAAGGGAAAACCCTTGAAAACCCACGCTCAACCCAACCGCCCAAAAGAACAAGAAGGGGAAGAAGAAGAAACAACTCAGAGCTGAGCTTCAATGGCGGCCAAGAACCAACAAACGCAAAAACCCAAAAAGAGAAAGCAAATTTCCCACTCCAAAGTTGAGCGGGATAGCTCGAAATCCAAGAAGCCGAAGCTCCTTGCTTACAACCCATCAAATAACCCTCCAAACAAGCCATTGAAGAAACCTTTCAAATCACCCAAACAAAAACAAAAACACCCAAGTGATTCAAAGTTTAAGAAATCAGATTCTGGGAATGAAAATAAAGAGCTCACAAAGCGAGAGCGTCGCCTCCAAGCCAAGGTTATTTGATTTGTTATGACTAGAAATTGAACATGACATGCTTTTATATATTTAAGGTTTATGGTTTTATTGGGTTTGACAGGAATTGGCAGAAGCTAGAAAGAAGAAGAGGAAGCCACATTATACTCTTGAACAAGTAAGTTCATTTTCAGCCTCTACTACTCTACAAAGAAGTAGGGTTTATGGTGGAATTAAGAATAAAGGAAAAGAAAATATATTTGCATTACCAGGATTTTATTGTTGTTTGTTTTGCGCTATTAGAAGTTATTTAGAGCTTATATGATGGCTGACTCTGTGATTTTGTGGCAATTATTGTCTAAAGCAAGTTCTGATTCTTTTACCTTGTAATAGGAGCTTGCATCTCTATGGGAAAAGATGAGGCGTCGGAATATCGCTAAAGAAGACAGATCAAAGTATGGTTTTGGGAACAAATATAATGTCTTTTCATTATATATATATATATATATATATTTTATCCCCAAAATGTAATTTGGATTGTTCTCAGGCTGATAACTGAAGCTCTGCAAAAGATGAAGGGAAAGATTCCTGAAATTGCCAGCTCTCATGTTTCTTCTCGTGTTCTGCAGGTGGGTTTTAGCCTTTTATTTTTTTTTTTTTTGAGTTCCAAATTAATTCCGCTGCCGTAGTGTATGCTCATCTAACCTTTTTTTGTTTGACCCCAGACTTGTGTTAAGTACTGTTCACAGACTGAAAGGGATGCTGTATTTGCGGAGCTTCTACCACATCTTCTCACCCTTGCATGCAATACATATGCTGTGCATCTGGTGAAGAAAATGTTAGATACTGGTATGGTTATGCTGCTTGATGGACTAGTTTTTATAGTCTCTTCTAGGTTGGGTTAACCCTATTGTTATCATGGTCTCATGTGATACTTCAAAATACATGCAGCATCTAAACCACAGCTGGCGGGGGTTATCTCCTCTCTCCGGGGGCATGTTGCTTCTCTTCTTCGGCATATGGTTGGATCTGTAGGTATGTTAAGAGTTTATTTCTTCACCTAAATAGGCAAATTTAATGGTGCATTTGCTATAAACATATGTGTCTAAGTTAGCTGGATTTAATTTGCATTTGACATGTGTTAAAGTGAGTGATATAACTGGTTTATTTCCATTAGGCAGATCTCAATGTGGTTTTTCAGGAGGTAAATCTCTTCTCAAGCCTTTCTGACATTAGATGTCCTTGCTTATCCCCCTGCAGTTATTGAGCATGCGTATCAACTAGGAAATGCCACTCAAAAACAAGAGCTTCTGATGGAATTATATTCTACTGAGCTGCATCTGTTTAAGGACCTCACATCCATCAAAGAAAGCAGGTAAAAAATATTTAAATTCATAATCTGTAATCATGGTTGTCATATATTGGGTGAATAGTCAATGGATAATATTCTTTCAATACGAGTAAAGAACTGATATCCAATCACGGAGGCTGATATGCGGTCTCTAAATTTTGTGATATTGTTGCCTCCATGGCTCTGTTGATAGCATTTCTAAGGTTGTGTGTTGCATATATGTGATTTGACAGTGATATCCTACTTCTAGCATAAGTTGGGAACATATTTTGACAAATTTTTCTATCACATTTCAGGTTAGTAGATGTAATTTCAAAGCTGTCCCTGCAGAAATCTTCTGTTTTACGACACATGAGTTCAGTGATTCAACCAATCCTTGAAAAAGGAATAGTAGACCACTCAATGATACACAGGGTATTAATAGAGTATTTGAGCATAGCTGATCAGGTATTTGAGATCTTAACATGCATTATTTCATTCTCTAAGGAGTGTTAGTGCCTGTAGAACTGGTTTTGCCATGTGATTTTTCTCTTTCTAAATTAAGTTTGTTGATAGTCCTCTGCTGCAGATCTAATTCAACAGCTCTCTGGTCCACTCCTTGTTCGTATGATCCATACCCGGGATGGATCTAAGATTGGGATGCTTTGTGTCAAGCATGGGAGTGCTAAGGTTTTTTGCAGTCGGTCGAATGAGTTTCATAAAACCAAATACATAAAGGATACCTTTTAAAAAAAAATTTTGATTTTACTATTTCTGTGTGGAATTCCAAGTTTTTGTTAACTCCTGAATCATCCTTCATTTTGTGTGTTTTTTAGGAAAGAAAGAAAATTATCAAAGGAATGAAAGGCCACATAAGCAAGATAGCTCATGATCAATGTGGGTGTATGGTAAGGGCTGCTTATGGAATTCTATCTGCTCAAATTTCTTCTGTTAGAAAATGCTATATTCCTGATAAAATTGTATTGGAAGTCTTGTGGGTGGCTTGTATTCAACCTTCTTAGCTTGTAAACAGAATTGAGGTTATCAACAACTTCATTGACAAAATGCACATTATTATGTTTCAGGATTTAACAGTATGGTTCTATGTCTGAAATGTAATTGACTCTTGGTAAATTCAACTATGGGACTAGTAATATAGTGATAGTAGTAATATGTTATGATGCCTTCATTAAGATTTAAAGCGTTTGGTGCTTTTGTGTCTGAGTTCCATTTTATTACTTATTTTAAATTTTTGTATAACTTTTATTGTAACTTGTAAGCTTAATTATGTGCTATTTGATTTCAGGTACTCATCTGCATTTTTTCAATGGTTGATGACACAAAGCTTATAACAAAGGTTAGTTTCTGCTATGAAGCCTATCATTACTACTTTTTTGTATACTATTATCAAATGTTTCTTTCTAGTAGTGCTTGACTTAATTTTCTGATTACAGATTGTTATCCGTGAGCTTCAAACAACATTGAAAGAGCTTGCTTTGGACAAGGTTTCTACTCATTCCAAACTTCTTATCATAACAATGGATTTTCTAGAAGATAACTTGGTTGGGAATAAGGATGGGCTAATATCCCTTTAAGCAAATAAAAGAGTTACAGAAAATCACTAGATGCTGCTGGTAGTCCCATTTTTACTGAAATATACACTCATTATTATCTGAAGTATTTATCTGGAGAATCTTTGAACACGAAACCAATAAATTGAGGAGTTAGTTAGCTGGAATCAAGTAAAAGTTGTTCATCTTTTTCAGTCTTATTTAGGAATGTCCATAGAATGGATCTTATCCCTAAATTTGTGCCATTTGTTGGAGCTACAAAACCTGTTGGATCTCCATTTAGTCGTCTGACTTTAATTCATTCTTTAGTAATTCTGCATTGCTTATGGGTTTCTGTTGTGCCCTTTGTGAATTTCAGAGTGGAAGGCGCTTGTTGCTACAGTTGCTTCATCCAAACTGTTCACGCTATTTAAATCCCAACGATCTGGCCTCTTTGAATTTATCTGTTCCCTCTCTCAGTGCTAAGGTAGTTTAACAGCTGTGATCTTTTGTGGAACTATCTTAGACTGCAAACATCTGTGCTAGAATTTACTATGGTTTTTCACTTTGTCAGAATGAGTCAGAAGTCCAATCTGAGAAAATTTCAATGGATGAAGAATCTAGTAAGGAAGCAGCCATGAGTGATCCTGATGTGACAACAACTGAGTCTGGTAAAAATGATACTCCTGAAGAAAACCTTTACTCAGCTGAGGGTGGGAAGAAGGACCCTTTCTTAAGGAGGAGGGAGTTGCTAGTCAGCAGTGGGCTTACTGAGGTTTGTTGCCCCTGCTGCCCATCAGGATGATCTGTCATTGATTTTGCTTTTAAAGAAAAATCTTTTATCTGTCCATTTATTGACCTCTTCCAGTTTACAGTTGTTGACTTGATTCTTGATGCTTTGAACCTTATTCTAGGATATATCTGCGATATTTTGTGCCTGGAATTATGCTTTAACTCCATCTTGGCTGAAGACATAAAAATTTTATCTCCGGTTAACTTGTGTGATTTTCGGTTTTGCAGAACCTTGTTGATGTGTGCATTGAGAATGCAGGAGAATTGCTTGCATCAAATTTTGGCAAAGAAGTAATTTTTGAGGTAACTAGCTTTTTTCTTTATGGTCTTCCCAATGGAGTTGTATTCTTTTTTAAAAAGTCTAGAAGTAGGTTAGCTAGAAGCCTGGAACCATATTGATAACTGTAACAGTTCTCTTATACAGTGAAAACTGTGACAGCTTGTCATTTTGCTTAAAGTAGGGTCTGATTTACTCTCAGATGTTCAGACATTCTCTCCATTCAAATTGTGTCTTCTTTTATTGAACTATTTTCAATCCTTAATCTCATGATTTGATTGCATCGGCATATCTCGGAAATAATGCAGGTTGCAATGGGGGGTTCTGATGGTATTCTCCACCCAACATTGGATGAAAAGTTGAATAACTTGCATGAAGCTATAGCAGCGCTTGTCGCAAAGCCTAAATCTGAAGAATCTGAGGAAGAACATGTGCTTGAAAATTTCCATTCCAGTCGCACAATAAGGAAACTAGTCTTAGACTGCCCTGCATTTGCTTCCACATTATGGAAGAAATCTTTGGAAGGAAAGTGTCAATTGTGGGCCCAGGGTCACAGGTGAGCCGCTTTGTTCCCTCCTTGTAAATCTTGCACATTTAAAGCATAAATATCTACTTGATCTCTATTGTTTCATATTGATATTGGTTTCCATTGTTGTAATTGCAGTTCCAAGGTAGTATGTGCATTTTGGGAATCCTCAGACTCCAAGGTCCGTAAAATGGCAAAAGAAGAGTTGCAGCCCTTGATAGATGGTGGTATTCTCAAAATCCCTGAAACTAAGCAATCGGCAAATGAAGGCTAGGTTGGCCTGTAACGGAAAGACAGAAAATCTTGATCATTGAACAGATGATGTTGATTGTACTGCAGCCAAGTTGAGTGAATGAACAGACTCTGTATTTATAGTCCTGAAGGAATTTATGTAATATACAGAGCAACCGTAAGTTTTGTTAGCTAGCTGAAATGCGGGGTTCATGGCCAAGTCAAAGTCAATATCAATGTCAAGAGCAGTTTCTTTTTTTCTTATGGATTTGGCAAATTACAAAATTACTCTAGAATTTGGAAAGGGGGCCTATTATTATCAATTTATCATACATTGAGTTGTTTTGCTTTTGATTTCTAATGCATGAGCTTATAGAAACTGGTTTGTTTTTCCTGCTTGAACTTTTGTGTATCAAGTATCTGGATTCTCTTAAAAGATTGCCCTCTTGGGATTGTTCCTTGTGGGTAACTGCCATTGGCTTGGGGATGTTGATTTGCTGTGACAATGTAAAACAGAGCAAAGAATAATTCTCGTGCACCGGAATCTAATTCCTTCAAAACGATAGCAGAATTTTTTTTTCTTTTAAGATGCAAGCAATCTAAATTGATGCTAAAGAATGATGATCATGAATGAATACAAACAGATTTGCTCTTAAGCATTCCCCTAAATGGTCCTGTGCTTGATCCATTCTCAAATATTGGAGAATGATACTTCCCTCTTCCCTGTACGCTCCTCCCTCTTTGATAGTGCCAAAAGCTCTCAGGTTTCTTGTAAATTTGACTCCTCAAGTGTGGGTAGCCTTGAAATAGATAATCTGAAGGTTCAAAAATTGGGGTCTCTCTTTGACTCTTTTGTTTAATCTCACTCTGACAGAGATTGTTTGATGGGTTAAAGAGAGGAGATTCCCTCCTGGACAAGCTATGAACCCTCAAACAGTTTTCTATAACCCTGATTTCCTCTTTAAATCTATCCCTCATATCTTTTAAACCTTGCACAACTCTACCAGATCTTGAAAAGTTCATGGGATCCTGCACCTTGGGTTTTGATGAATGTTGTGAATTGGCAAGAGAATTGCCACTTGAATATGGGATTCTATTGCATTCAATGCAGAAGTATTTCCACCTCTCCAAGTTAAAAGCTCTTCTCCTCACATTGTCAGAAAGACATGTATATGCCTGCAAGTAAGAAACAGTTTAATTACTACCTTGAAAAATAAAAATCATTGTTTTTTCTCCTCTTTTTACAAAACTATGAGAGTATCTGATCTTCTTGAGTTTGGTGAGTAGTGCATTGGCAAGAATGAATTGCTATCATACCTAACACTGCAGATGCTGTTGGTTTAAGTTGAGATTTTGTTCAACCAAATTCTGTTACTAAATTGAATAGCGTACGTTTCTTTCTTTAAATTTCTGTCCAGTGGGACAGCCCTCACGTCTGTTTCATCCCCTTAATCAACTTGACTGGTGAACTTGATACCATGACCATTTCGGAAGTCAATAGTCTAGTAAAAAAGTTTATTTTTCTTTTCCATTCCACAACTTTTGATTAACTATCGGCTTTACTAAGAAAATTTTTAACTAGAGAGAAAATAGAAAGAACATAAGGCAATCTCTGAATTGATCCATAATCTATATTTATGACCTGTTAAGTTCAATTTGTTGAATCTAACAAGTAATCCAATCCATTCCAATTTTCAATGCCACCAAAAGAATAAAAAGGCAATAAAGTAATCCAACCTCTGAAACAAGCTTGAAGGCAATCTCAGCTTTTGGATGCTTGTTTTTATCCGGGTGAAGTTGCAAAGCTGAAGACAGAAACAGAAACAGAAACAAAAACAAAAACAACCCTTTTCAACAAAACAATGGAAAATACTTTCATTTTCTGGCATCAGGCAATAGCTTACCAAGTTTATGATAACGCCTTTTGATGAGCTCTAATCCTGAATCTTCTGCCACCTGCAAGGGAAGATCCTGAGCCAAATGCAATACCCCAAAAAAAGGGTTGAATATTCAGATGAAGATTAAAAGCCTGGTAAAAAATTAAAAAACGTACTCCTAGAAGATGGTACCAGTCCATGAAATGTGACTTAACAGGGTTGTTGAAATGGTGTTTATGAGAACATGCAATAGGAGTGGTTGACATGGAGCAAATTTCCAGGACCAACTGTGACTTTGCAGCATCTGATATTGTTGATTCCAGCCCAATTCTCCCCATCGTTTAGAGGCAAAAAAGGGAGGTATATCCTAAGAATTGAATGACAGAAAATGGGGTGAAATGAGCTTGAAAATGAAGATTGAAGTGATGGTTTTTGCAGGGTTAGGAAGAGTTAAAGAGAGGAGAGGAAATAATGTAAATGTAAGGTGGAGCGGTTAAGAAAAAAAAGGGTGAGTTTGCGGGAGAGAGAGAGAGAGAAATAGAAAATGAAGGCTTATTTGAAAGTGGATCAGTTGGTGGGAAGAAAAAGAAACGTTGGCTTTGCCATTTGGCTAATTGAAACCTTCAAGAATTTCTGCAGGCAATTAGTAATTTTATGTTTCTTAGGCTTTAAAGATCTAAAAATAATTTTTTTAATACAAAATATCAAAATATCTAAAATAAAAAAATTACAAATATTAATGTTTAAATTTTAAATTTATTAAATATTATAGATAACTGCATGAATCAATTGAATTAAACTTGCATTTAAATTTAAATCATTTTAACAGTAAACAAAATTTGAAATGAATTTATCAGATTAAATTCTTTCCTAATAATATCCAAATTTATAACTGAAATTTTTAGAAAACTGAAAAAGCTTTCATTTACTCTTTTCAAAGTAAAATCTTTTTGGTTACTTTATTTCAAATTCTCAACATTAGTTGTAAACAAATTTAGGAAAATTATTTATCCTCCTTCATTTCTTTATTTGTCTTACTTGAATATCAAACAAATTTATAACTCCAGACTTTTATAAAAGGCAATTGTTGTTGTAACATGAAAAACAAGACTTAACTTACTTTGATGATTGCATAAAGATATGGAATCAGATCAGACATTCATTGAAGATTGAAAATGGAGGTCTCAAAGAAAAGGGTCAGGTTAACCCTTTTTGCAACCTAACCATTGAGTGGAGAACACAAGGTGATATATAATATTGTTGGGTTGATGATCCTTTCCAAATGTAATCATTTCTTCTTATGCCCAAAGTTTACAAAAATTAAAAAATCAATTTTTTATAGTATGGTGTACGGTGTCTCGAGTTTAATCTAAAAATAATTTTTTTTCACTAAACTTAATTAAAGACTAAAAATAACAACGAATTGAATCGAAAAATTTTTAAATCTTAAATCCAACTTAATTTTATAAATTTAATATTTAAAATCAACCTAATTCGATATTAAACTATTATTTTTATATCTAATCTAAATAAGTTTAATCTTACAATTGATTCAATCAATATAAAATCAATAAAATATTATTTTTTAATATAAAATATTATTTTTAAATATAAATATAAAATTAAAAAATATATAAAAATAATAAAAAAAATAATATATATTGGGTCAAGACAATATAGGTTTACATGAAACCTAACCATTATCCAACTCAAAACTTATTTAAAAAAATAAAAAATCGATACTATAAAATCAAGTTGAGTCAAAATTTGATCGATATGAATTGAATTACTAACCCTTCCAAAGACACACTATCTTAACCTAATGCATTCAAGATTTTATTTCGAAATGCTTTTCCCACACAAAAATGATAAATGACAAAAGAGAGTTTCTTTCCTTTGGACATGGTATCAGTAATTTCAACAGGTTAACAATGAAGAGTATTGAATTCAATCACATGAAACTGGAGCGTCCAGCAGGTGTGACCCACTCAAATAATACCCAGCTGGAACCCCAAGCAAAAGGAAGTTGTCTAAAGGGTAGTTGAAAAAGGATATCCACTACTGCCATGCCATGGGGTCCTTTGGGCCAGAAAATTTTAAGCTCCATGGCTCCAGCCTTCTCTTTTTTTCACCTTTTGCCAAATTGTTGACTTGACAACAGCTTGAAATTTCATAAATTCTTGGTGTGCTTGGTTGGTGGATCCAGTACTTCTTCCAAGTTTGTAAAAAAGCAAAATTCAATATGGATTGAGCCATGGCACATGGCTTTTTTAGCTTTATTAAAAGAGTAAGGTACAGAATTTTCCTTGAAATTGTCCTCTAATTCTAAACTTTTTGTCATTCTGCCACAACATAAACATTCCTTCTGCAAAACTCACCCCTTTTTCCTTCTCCGTTTGAGGAGAAGTGTGGCAAGGGTTAAAAAGCTAAAAAAAGATGATATTTGGCACTTGGAAAGGGAACCATGATCATTTAATCAAATGCTCAACACAAAAAATATGTATAAATAAAAAGTGTAATTAGTAGGATTGACAATTCAATCCATATTCAATGGATTTTGATTTGATTCGATATTATAAGATCAATTTTTTTTAATTAAATTTTTGGTTAGGTTGAGTTTTTTTTTTAAGAAAAATTAGGTTTAGTCTTATGTAAATTTGACCTAACTTGATATATATAATTTTATTATTATTTATTTAATTTTATATTTATATATTTATTTAATTTTATCTTAATATTTAAAAAATAATGTTTATATTAAAATGCAATATTTTATATTAAAAATTAATATTTTATTAATTTCAGATCGAATTAATTATGAATTTAAACATATAAGGATCAAATTAAATTCAAATATAAATAATATTTTAATATCATATTGAATTTAAATATTAAGTTTATAGAGACAAATTAAGTTCGAGACAAGTAAACACTCATCTCAACCCTATCTATTGCCATCTATAGTAATTAGTCAAACAAGTTTAGAAAGATTTCATGAAATTTGTTTGAAGGGTTTCTTTTTCCTGGTTATTTCTAGCTACCCCCTACATGAGATATTGGGAAGACTATGTCAAGGTTTGCCTAGTTTATCAAATGGCTAAAAAGAGGATATTAATAGCATTAGGTGAAGTATTTTATTGAGCTATTATTCCTAGGTTTTAAGACCTAAGTACAAATTATAATGGAATTAGGGAGATTCACATTTCACAAAGTTTTCATTTGCTCTATGCCATTGAAAAGGTCAATTAGAGCAGTTGGAATTCAAAGCCCAATGCAATTTTTCTTTTTGTTGGGATAAGGCAGGCGGTTTTGGGAATTCCAAAGCCTATTTAACAATACTTTATGGGTTGTTTCTCTGATATCAAGACATTTTATGGTACTCGATGATAATTTTTCTCCCAATGGATTGAAAATTATGAATCAAATTATTAATTATTACATTTAATGTAAAACTATTATTATAAATTGTATATTAATTAAGTTTAATGAGTATTTAATGATCCTTTGTTATTTTTTTATTTCATTTAATTAAATTTAATAATTTAAAATATAATTCAATAATACGACACGAATACGATAAGAATATAAAATATAAATATAAAATATAAATATAATATAATTTAAAATTTTAATAATAATTATACATAAATTTAATAAAATAAAAAAATATATATTCATATTGATACAAATTATAATACGTAATTTTTATATAAAATATGATATAAATATACAAATTTTTTACATAATAAAAATACATGAATCAACGAATCTATATTTAACTTAGAACAATGGTTTTGTTAAGATCTTAGTCTTGATTTCCATCATAAGTTTATAGTTCCAAATAAAAATAGGCATATGGAGACATGAAATTAATTGGGTTTCACGCTTTTTCTTCAAAAGCGATTTTAACTTTAGAGTTTATTTTAAGAGATAAATTCTCGTAACTTTAAAGTTTATTTTAAGAGATGAATTTTCGTAAGTTGAATTCGATTGTTATATCTGTAAAATTTTTAAAATTTTTCTCAAGTTTTGATCTATTTTGTTAAAAACAATTAAAGATCATATCATCTTGCAAAAGCCAAAATATCATCTTACATTAATCTACCTAAGGCAGAAATAGGAGATAATAATTTTGCTATTCCAAAGGTTAAATCTGATAATACGTATATTTATGTTATATAAAATATTAAAATTTATATATTTACATTATATTTTACATGAAAATTATGTATAATAATTTATATCAATATAAAAATATAAAATATATTTTTTTATTTTATTAAATTTAGATAAAGTTATTATTAAAATTTTAAATTATATTATTTTTAAATTTTAAATTTTATATTTATATCATACCATTATGTCGTATTTTAGATTATTAAAGTTTTGTAAGTTAAATTTGTCAAAAAAATTTCACACAAGAATTAAAATCTCCATGGATATGATTAAGAGAACAATCTCAATCTGATTGGAGAAGTTGTTTGCGACCATGTATAACATGATAAAGCAAATCATTATTATGCAGACGTTTCGAAATTTTTTGCAAAGCCAATAATGAACCAGATTTCACCAGATTTTTTTTTTTTTTTTGTAACCATGCTCTCAATCTATTTTTAATCCTATGAAAATAGCATGGATTTGCAAAGTTCACCGATAGCTAAATCACTTAAATTTAGTGGCAGCGTCCATATTAAGCTTGACAAAATTCGAAGAAAGACGTTATCAAGCAATATAAAAAAGTTATCTAATTGGCGAATTTCTATTAACGATCTGATTGAATTAGAAGCGTAATTGAATTAGCGGATCATATGAAATCAACTTAAAACACAAATTGATTACGTAACTTCCAGAGATGTCAACAAGCAAAGCCAAAAAATATAATCAAGCGATGTGGTCAATCAACCTGTTACACTTGAACAAGTTAAACTTGAGCCAATCATGGACCTTAGTTGATTTATTGGACCGCTTTGTTTGGGTTCTTTAATTCAGGCAATGGCCCTTTCAATTAAAGGCTAAATGTAGACCCATTTTTGTCACATCACAAACCAATTCTCATGTTAGGTCCAAAAGCTCAAATTCCATTACAATTATTATGAGTCCAATAATAAAAATAAATTATTTCATTTGTAAAATTTAAATTCTATTTAAGATTATAAATGAATAGAATATAATCAAATTAACGTATATCTATGATTTATTAATTTATTTTTAAAAGTGTTCATATTCGGTTCATATTTTTAAGAAAATTATTTTGTTTATTCACATTCGTTCATCTAAATAATAAATTATCCACATTCGTTTTGTATTTATTCAATTAAATTAAACGAGCTTGTTTATGAACATTAAATAAATATATTTATAAATATATGTAAAAATATATATATCTATGAATAATAAGTAAATCACAACCAAATAAATTTAAACAAATAAATCCTAAACGAATATATCCAAAATAAATATAAATGAACCTTAAAATATTATTAGGATAAAATATAAAAATATAATTTTAGTAGTATTATTATAAAAAAAAAGAATAATAAACAAATGATTTTTAAACGAGTTTATTCACGAATATAAATAAATCAAACAGATATTTGTTTGCGTTTAGTTCATTTAATAAATAAACATAAAAAATATTAT